AATCGGCTGCGCTGGGCGAGTCGCGTGCAGCAGAGACGCGGTTGCGCCAGGCGAGCGCGCGTGAAGTAGCAGGCGAAGAGCCGGGCGTGCACTGTTCAGGTGAACACACACACACACACATTACACGACACAGACACAACACACATACACAGACAACACACACACAAAAACAATACCCACCTCATTTTATCGTTTCGCTCGTTCCGCTGGCCCATTTCTAATGGCATTCGGCCTATCCCGGCAACATCCCTGGTTGGTGGGTCTGAGGTCTTTTGGATGTTCGTCGGGATCTTGTCGACGCTTGTTGTGGGCCTCCTGGATGCAGTTCTGAGGCCTTCGGGTGGGCTGTTCTTAGCTCTGCTGAGGTGGGGCCTCTTAGTGGCCTCTAGGGGCCTCCTGAGCGCCTGTTGGCACAGAAGGCTCGGATTTTCAGTTCGTGTTCCCCTTCTTGGGCCCCTCTTGCGGCCGTCTTGGGCGGCGCCTCTGGGGCCGTCTTGGAGCCCTCTTGTGGGCCTCTGGGGCCGTCTTGGGATGGTCTTGGGGGCGTCTTGGGACGTCTTGCAGCGTGGGAAGCTCGAGAAGTGGAGAACCCAAAAACATTCAGAAACCTCATGAAAATCAATGCGTTTGGCCTCTCGAGGCCCTCTTGGGACAGCTCTTGGGCTCTTGGGGCCCTGGGGGCCTCTTGGGACGTTTTGAGCGCTTTCTCGGCTGACCGGCGGCCATCTTGGGTGTCTTCCACCGATCGGTCAGCGATTCGGGGCTCTCTTGGACTGTCTTGGGGGCCTCTTGGAGTCCGACCGCCCTGGGGAGTTCCGGCATCCTTGAGCCAACCCCTTGCTGGGGCCAGGACCTTGCCGTTTTTGTTTTTTCTTTGTTTTGGGACCCCTGGTCAAGCAGTGGCGAAGCGTCCTGGCTCGCCTATAGGCCCACCAAATAACCTTACGAGAAACTTTGGTGGGTTGTACGAGATAATCTTAGAGCATGTTTGGTTGGGACTGACATGTTTTAACACATCGGGCTGATGCTCATAGAATATTGCTTTTGTTCTTAGAACAGTTTGGGGTTCTAAGACCATCTCGTGGTAGGCCCATAGGAATGCCGGGATGGTCGGTCCCTGCTCAGCCTGGGGCAGCCGTCGTTGGGCTGGCCGCTCGCTCCCCGCCTCGGCGCCGCCTGCACGCCGGGCGCAGGTGCGGTGCCCCAGCCCCGTATCTGATGGCCGTCAGCCCATCCCGCCACCGTGCCTGGGTTGTGAGTACGAAGCCTATTTGATGTTTCGGTGGGATTTCGCGTGGGGCTTCTCGGGGGCCTCTCGGAGGGGCCGTTTGGGGGCAACTTGGGGCTTCTTGGGGGCCTCTTGGGGCCTCTGGGGGGCTCTTGAAGGCCTCTTAGCGCCTCGTCGGCGCCTCTTGGGAGCCTCCTGGGAGCCTCTTTGGGAGGAAGGCTCGGATGTTCGGTTCGTGTTCTCTTTTTGGGGCCCCTTCGGGGCCCTCTTGGGCCGTTTTGGGCGCCCCTTGGATTATCGTGGGGTCCTCTTGGGTAGTTTAGAGGCTCTCTTGGAGGCGGCCTTGGGCCGTCTTGGCGCGGTCTTGGGGGCCTCTAGGCTCTAGGACCGTCTGGGAGCGTTGGGAAGCCGAGCAGGCGAGAACGCCAGAATCTTTCAAAAACCAAGGAACAATCATGAGTTTGTCCTATTGGGGCCCTCTTGGGAGGCCTATTGAAGGCCTCTTTGGGCGTCGTGGAGGCCTCTTCGGCCATCAGGGGGCCATCTCGAGCGTATTGGAGCGATGGTTCGGCGACTCGGGGCCCTACTTGACTGTCTTGGGCTGCTGGCTGATATCAAAATGGTCTTCATGCTGGCTCAGAGGACGGAGCAGAGTACTAAGCCATTGCAACAATGTACTTGGGCCCGCAACGGTCACGTGACAAGAAGCGACAAGCCCCAGGGGGCACACGCCACGGAGAAACCGAGAATTCTGGGGTCTGGGCCCCTTACTTCTCAATCCCGAGGACCGAGGACTGGGGACTGAGGATTACAGGGAGGTTGAGGATGGAAGCTTAGAGGATGGGGCCAAGGACCCGAGGACACGCCCAGTCCGTGCCCAGCGGCACGGTGGCGGATGTACACGGAGGGACGTGTGCACGCCAGCATGTGGGCGCCCTCGTTGCCCAGGGCCACACGTGTTGACCACTGGCTGGCCCCCTTCGAGCTGCTTCTCTACCCTACCCTGCCCGACCCACTGGTCGGCCGCCCCTTGGACACAACGGTTCCACGACACACGTAACCAGTGGAACGGGATGCCGTCGAGCCACTGGCAGATCCCTCCTCTGCCCCCACACGCAGACAAAACACACACGCACCCAAACAATACGATCACTATTATCATCATATCCACAGCCGCCACCAGCATCACAGTCGCCGTCGCAGCCTTCATCGTCACCATCGTCGTCGCCGCTGTCGTCGCCACTGGCATTCTCCTCCTGGTCTTCGCCATTGGCGTGCTCGTTCCCGTCCCCGTCCGGAGGAAGAGGCGGAGTTCCGCCGGCTGGAGGACCAGCGCCACCGGTACGGCGAGCAGCTCTTCAATCTGGTGCAGGCCATAGAGCCTCGCATGGAGCTCACGCAGAGGATCACAGGCGCTGGGCTCGTCCCGCTCTGCTCGTGCCTGCGTGCTCTTCCTGGGGGCTGGGCGGGTCTTGTCGTTGCCTCCCACGGCCGTCGTTCTGCAGCCCCCGAACAGCGGCAATCCTGGTCGGGAGCCCCCAGGGGCCATCGGCCACCTGCACGCGAGTGTGTGGGAGCTCGGTTGCGCGCCCTGTAGCCAGAGGAGCGGGACGCATTGATCATGATGCGTTCCAAGAGTTCCAGGTTCTCTTTGTCTCCTCCGCGGCCAGAGACGCATGGCCCAGGACGAGTGGCCGAGGGCCGCGAGAAACTCTGGAACTCCCAGAGTGCATCCTGCGCCAATCGCAACATGATGGTATGTACGTTTGCAGTATAGGTGTGTATGCATGTGTATATAAAGAGAGAGAGAGAGAGAGACAGAGAGAAGGAGAGATAGAGAACGTGTGTCAAAGCCAGAGACCGACAGAGAGAGAAAGGGAGAGCGAAATTAGATAGGCCTTACGGTCGGTTCCGCAGACCCTCGCGCGAAGACAGGCCAACGATGATCCAAGAGGGGCGTGAAGAGCACTTCGAGACAGGAGCAAAGACAGAAGACCGAGCCACCTCAATCTAGTGGCCTTCGACCCATCCCACCACCGTGCACTGGGTGGTGGACTAGAGGCCTCTTGAATGCGTAGAGGGACTCTTGGGGTGCCTCTTGGAGGGCTCTTGTGAAGAGCGATGAGGGGGAAAGAGGGAAGGGGGCGAGGAGGAACGAGTTGGGAGGGGCAGGAACACGTAGGAGGGGGGAGGAAGAGGGATGAGGAGGGAGCGCAACAAGCTTGTTCTTCACGTCTGGGCAGCGTCAAAAGGGGAGGAGGAGGCGGAGCAGGAGGAGGAGGACCAGTCTTTGCCCAAGATGTTTCAGCGGCGCTGCAATCCGCCCTCCCACCCCGAGTCCCCTCGACAGTCCCTGCAGGAATTCCTCGTCTCTTCGCTGCGCGGGGCGCCCCCCTGGAACGGCAATCCGCCCATGTGCCCGCACACCGCCTTCATCCTTCGAGCCAGCTATCGAAGACGCCTACGGCGAGTCACCGCCGCCCCCTGCCTTTTTGGAAGCGCCCATGTGGCCGAACGTTGAGGCCAGACCTACCGAGCTATCGGACCACGTGTGCCCCGAATCGGTTCGGAAAGCCTTCGGGGAAGACGTGGGCATCTGGAAGGTCATCTTGGCCGTGTGGCTTCCATTTTGACCCTTTCGGGCCTTTTGGAGGACGTCTTGGAGGGCTCTTGGGCCGTCTTGGAGGCCATCGTGAGCGTCTTGAAGGCCTCTTGGGCCGTCTGGGGGGCCTCTTGGGACCGTCTTGGGCTTCTTGGGCGATTTTCGGGGGCACATGGGCCGTCCCGGGCCGTCGGAAGTCCGAAAACACGCAAATGCCACGATCTTTCAAACACTCATGGGTAGTCAATGATTTGGGCCTTTTCGGCCCTTCCTGGAGGCCCTCTTGAAAGCTTCTTGGGCAGTCTTGGGCCATCTTAGGGCCACCTTCGGCCGTCTTGGTGGGCTCCTGGCCCGTCCGACGCCGTCGGAAGCTGTTTGGGTAGCTCTCTGGGCCGACTTGGGGTTCTCTTGAAATGCTCCAGGGCCGTCTTGGAGGCCATCTTGGGCGTCTTAGAAGCCTCCTGGGCCGTCTGTGGGGCCTCTTGGGGCCGTCTTGGGGGCCTCTTGGGCTGTTCTGGGGCCATCTTGGGGGCCTCTTGGGCGATCTTTGGGCGATCTTTGGGGGCTCTTGGGCCGTCTCGGGCCGTCGGAAGGCCGAAAAGAAGCAAATGTCAATACCCTTCAAAAATCTAAGGGCAATCAAGGTTGTTGGCCATTTCTGGCCTGGAGGCCCTCTTGGAGGCCTCTTGGGCCAGCTTCGAGCCAACTTCGGCCATCTTGGAGGGCTCCTGGCCCGTCAGACGCCGTCGGAAGCCGTTTGGGGGGCCTCTCTGGGCCGACTTGGGGCCCTCTTGGGGTGCTCCAGGGCCGTCTTAGTGGCCATCTTGGGCGTCTTGGAGGCCTCTTGGGTCGTCTTTGTGCCCTCTTGGGGATGTCTTAGGGGCCTCTTGGGCAGTCCTGAGGCCATCTTGGAGGCCTCTTGGGCGCTGTGGGGGCGATCTTGAAGGCCTCCTGGGCCGTCTTCGGTCGTCGAAAAGCCGAAAAGGAGCAAACACGAACAACCTCTAAAATCCTAGTGCAAATGAATGAGTTTGGCCTCTTCGGGCCCTCCTGGAGGACCTATTGGAGGCCTCTCGGACCGTCTTGGAGGCCTCTTGGGCACCTCTTAGGCCGTCTTGGGCCGTCCCGGCGGTTTCTTGGGCGAACTTGGAGGCATCTCCTCCTCTCTTGGGCGGACTTGGAGGCCATCTTGGAGGCCATGTTGGGCCAACGTGGCCATCATGGAGGCCATCTTGAGCCGTCTTGGAGGACCAATTGCGCAATTGAGCTCCTTTCCCGGTGGCCGGCGGGACGGGCCGAAGCCCCAGGGGGAGTTCTCTTGGAAAAAGAACCAAAACCAAAACCGAAAGGATCTAGCACGCCAGGTACCCCTGTTATGATGAATCAACAGGGGCCGGCGGATGACGGAAATCGCGCGTTAGCGTGCGGTCCGTTAGTCGGAAGAAAGTGGATTTGGGGGAGTTCGAGGGGGGTGGCATCGCCAGGCCCGGATGACGGAAAGCGCGCGTTAGCGTGCGGTCCGTTAGTCGGAAGAAATTGGAGTTGGGGGAGTTCGAGGGGGGTGGCATCCGCGGGCCCGGATCTAATTGCCTTCCCGCCTCGTTTTTTATCGGGTAGGACTGCATTCGGGGCTTAAAAACAGCGTTTCGCTTGAGACATCATCGGAGAACGCTTCTTGGGCGCTTCTTGGGCCGTCTTAGGCGCCTAAGACAGCCCAAGAAGCGGCCAAGACAGCGCCCAAGACGGCCCAAGACGGCCCCAGAAGCGCCCAAGACGGCCCAAGAGCGATCCAAGAGAGCCCAAGACCGCCCAAGGCGGCCCCAAGACGTCCCAAGAGGCCTCCACGACGCCCCAGGAGGCGCCCACGAGGCGTCCCAAGAGGGCCCCAAGAGGTCAAACTCATTGATTTTCTTGAGGAAAACGTGCATTTCTAGCATATACGGTTTTTCGCTTTTCATGGCGTTGAAGACGGTCCAAGAGGCCCCCAAGACCGCCCCAAGAGCCCAAAGAGACTGCCAAAGGCAGCCTAGTCCCTTCACCCCCGCCACCCAGAAGCCCCCAGGAGGCGCCAAGAAGCCCCCGAGAAGCCCCAAAAGGTCCCCAAGAGGCACCCAAGAGACTCCGCAAGAGCCTCCCAAGAGGCCCACAATACTCCCAAAGGCTCTTAGCACCGCGGCTCCCAAGAGCGAGCGGTGACGTAATCGAGCTGATAAGACCAAAGCTCCCAACAGAGAGCTGCGGCGTAATAAGTTCTTGCAGCCAGGGCACAGGGACGGGCGGCAACGCGTGGACAACGAGCGGTCCACGCAAGGACAACGCGGGGTTCTGGAAAGCTGGCAGCCCAAACGCGGAAAACGCAACGCGACCCGACCGCCCCCTTCCAAAACAAGAAACGCGCTCAAAGAAAGCTCCGCGACTCTCCGAGGCTGAGATAGGACAAGAGCGAGGGGAAGGGAGTCAATAAGAGGTGTAAGAGCGGACGAGCCAGCGATCCCGTGCGCTCTGAAAGTAAGTGCGCTTTCCGTCCCCGTGCCGAGCAGGTCGAATTGCCTTCCCGCCTCGTTTTTTATCGAGTAGGACGGCCTTTGGGGCTTAAACACAGCGTTTCGCTCGAGACATCATCGGAGAACGCTTCTTGGGCGCTTCTTGGGCCGTCTTAGGCGCCTAAGACAGCCCACGAAGCGGCCAAGACAGCGCCCAAGACGGCCCAAGACGGCCCAAGAAGCGCCCAAGACGGCCCAAGAGCGCTCCAAGAGAGCCCAAGACCGCCCAAGACGGCCCCAAGACGTCCCAAGAGGCCTCCACGACGCCCCAGGAGGCGCCCACGAGGCGTCCCAAGAGGGCCCCAAGAGGTCAAACTCATTGATTTTCTTGAGGAAAACGTGCATTTCTAGCATATACGGTTTTTCGCTTTTCATGGCGTTGAAGACGGTCCAAGAGGCCCCCAAGACCGCCCCAAGACGGCCCAAGATGTTCCCAAGAAGCCCCCAAAATAGCCCAAGAGGGCGCCAAGACGGGCCAAGAGTCGTCCAAGACTGTCCAAGAGGCCCCCAAGAGCGCCCCAAGAAGGCCCAAGATGCCCCCAAGAAGGCCCCAAAACGGCCCAAGAGGGCGCCAAGACGGCCCAAGAGGCGCCAAGACGGCCCCAGGACGGCCCCAAGAAGGCCCCCAAGACCGCCCCCAAGAGAGCCCAAAGACGGCCAAAGGCAGCCTAATCCCTTCACCCCCGCAGCCCAGAAGCTCCCCGGAGGCCCCCAGAGGCCCCCGAAAAGCCCCAAACGGTCCCCAAGAGGCACCCACGAGGCTCCCCAAGAGCCCCCCAAGAGGCCCCAAAAAACTCCCAAAGACTCTTAGCACCGCGGCTCCCAAGAGCGAGCGGTGACGTAATCGAGCTGATACGACCAAAGCTCCCAATAGAGAGCTGCGGCGTAATAAGTTCTTGACGCCAGGGCACAGGGACGGGCGGCAACGCGTGGACAACGAGCGGTCCACGCAAGGAAAACGAGGGGTTCTGGAAAGCTGGCAGCCCAAACGCGGAAAACGCAACACGACCCGACCGCCCCCTCCAAAACAAGAAACGCGCTCAAAGAACGCTCCGCGACTCTCCGAGGCTGGGATAGGACAAGAGCGAGGGGAAGGGAGTCAATAAGAGGTGTAAGAGCGGACGAGCCAGCGGTTTCGTGCGCTCTGAAAGTAAGTGCGCTTTCCGTCCCCATGCCAAGCAGGTCTAGTGGCTTTCGGCTAATCCTTCACCGTGCCTCGGTTGTGGGTGTGAAGCCTGCTGGATGTTCGTTGGGATCTCGTGGGAGGCCTCTCGGGAACCTCTTGGAGGCAGCTTATGATGCCTCTGAGGGGCTGTTTTGGGACCTCTTGGAGCCTCGTTTGGGCCCCTTGAGGCCTCTTGGTGGCCTCTTGTCTTGGAGGCCTCTTAGGGCCTCTTGGGGGCTCCTGGCGGCCACTTAGGGCGGAAGTCTCGGATTTTCGGTTCATGTTCCCCCCCTTGGGTCTTTGTTGGGACTTTCTGAGGCCCCCTTTGGGGACCCTTTTCGAGGCCTCTGGGGCCGCCTTGATGTGGTCTTGGGGGCCTCTTGAGCCATCTGGGAGCGTCGGGAAGCCGAACATGTAATAACGCAAACGTCCTTCAAACACCTACGGCAAATGAATGATGTTTGCATCCTGGGGCCATGTTGCGAGGCCTATTGGAGGCCTCTCTGGGCTTCTTGGAGGCCTCTTGGGCCGTCTTGAGGCCATCTTGGGCGTCTTGGGGCGATCTTTTGTAGTCTCGGGGCCCTCTTGGACCGTCTTGAGGGCCTCGTGGGGCCTTCTTGGCCCGTCTTGGGGCCCCTTGGACCCGCGAAAGTCAAGCGAGGAGATGCCAGGAACCCCAGGGCGCACGCGTTAAGCCCCGCGAGGTTTGGCAATTTTGGGTCCGGGCCCTTGAAATACTCAGCATCAGCAGGAGTGAGGATTGAGGCTTCGAGGATGAGGGAAAGCACCTGAGTGCAGGCCCACTCCGTGCCCAGAGGCACGGTGGCGGATAAGTCGGGGAAGCGTAAAAACTCGAGTAAGCCGGAACTCGGGGTTGCCGACGTTTTTTGACGAGCGCGTCCTCGATTTTGACGGCCCAGTTGTCGTGGGAGGTTTGCAGCGAGAGTTCGCGTCTCGTTATTTTTTATAATGGCCCCGTCAGGCCAACCCGAGTCCCCCGTACCCAAGTCTTTCGTCTCCCCGAAAAGGAATGCGACAGGGCGTGTTCTGAAGCTCTTGGAAGTGCCCAGCGACAGCCCCGCTCTGAACAACGGACCGCCCTGTGTCTGTAGAGCTTCTGCACAATTATTTGGCATCCGGTCGTGAGATCAATCGCAGCCTCGGGCGATAGCACCATTTCGAAAAAGGAGCCGCCTCTCATCCATGTTATGTTTACGCATCCTCTCACGAATCGTATTTCTTCCTTGAGGACGCCTCAAGCGAGATCCTCTTTTCGAAAACGTGCTGACCTCCATCCGTTTAAGTGCTGGAGTTGTTTGAGACCAATGTGTGTTCGTTGCGCAGGCGAGAGTGACTTTTTAAGACGCCTGGCCCGCAGTCCGTGTAAATAACGGAAAAGTGTAACACCAATTTGCGCGGCGATGAGGCGAAACCTACAGCTTGAAAACAACGGGCCCTGCATCAGCGTAATTCCTGGAAGCTCTTGACCTCGATGAAATACACGACAGGGAAGTCTCAAGTTGAACGCCCGTCCGAGCATACGGACACGTGAGGTGGTGCGACAAGGAGGGGTTGCTTGTATAAAAGACAGTGGGACGGATATTGACAGGACGAGGAACAGCAAGAGGAAGAGGGAGGAGAAGGGAGGACAGCGGAGGAGGTTTGAAAGCATAGCGCTTGATGTGTGATCTACAATGTTGCGTTTCTGGAGGAGGAAGAAGAGGAATAGGGGGTTCCAGAAAACCGCGCCCAAGGTTCTTCTCTCGAGTCTTGGCCTCGGACGCCCTCCTTCAAGCCCCGCAGCGTCGGCCCAGGACGAGGCCAGGCGGATTTCCGACCCCTGCCAGCCGCGCGTCGCGAGATCAGTACGACGGAAGGTTTCGGGAAATTGTCTCCGAGGGCGTTTGCCAGGCCACGGGGCTGTCAAGAACCGAGCCAGGGTGGAAAACAGGGCCCCCAGGAAAGAGTCCAGACCCCTTGCGAGCTAGGTGGTGGAAAATCAGGAGGACAGATGTCTGAGGATCCTGGAAGGGAGGGTCCAGGGACCGATTCTGATCGGATTTCTGGGTCAGGATAACGTGGGGAGGCGGAGGAGAAAGAGGCAGAGGAGGCGAGGGCTACGATCGACGATCTTCCCAGCCATCAGGAGGAGGAGACGAGGGCTACGATCGACGATATTCCCAGCCATCAGGAATCAGGAGGAGGAGGGGGCGGAGCAGTGGGGGGGACGAGGCGGAGGGGGAGTAGGAGGCGGAGGGGGAGTAGGAGGAGGAGGAGGAGGAGGAGGAGGAGGACGAGGAGGAGGAGAGGAGGAGGAGGAGGAGGAGGAGGAGAACATGGAGGGAGGCCTCTGGGAGGCTGGATGCCAATGTTTCAGGCTCGGCTGCCGCTTTGAGCGTATTCGTGCTGATGGTTCGCCCTGGCCACAGGCATGCTGCTTGAGCTGCCCCAGAGCGAGCTGCTCCTCAACCTCACCAGCCACGAGGAGCTGTCCAGGCGGATCGAGGAGGCCCTCAGAGTCCTCAGGCGCGGCCTCCCCCGCGCAGTCTCGGGCCCCATCCCGTGGAGAGAGAGAGAGAGAGAGAGAGAGGCCCCCGCTCCTCCGCGCCGCCCGCGTCCTGCCGCTCGCCCGCCGCTGCGCCCCAGTGCTGCCCGCCCCGCCCCGCCTGCCGCTGCCCCCTCCCGGGGCTCCGCGCCTCCCTCGGGGGGCGCCCCGCCCCTTCAGGGCGAGGAGGATGGGCCTGTTTTTCACCGCCACCACCGCCACCACCACCACCACCACCACCACCACCACCACCACCACCACCACCAACAACAACAACAACAACAACAACAACAACAACAACAACAACAACATACGTTGGAGGGGGAGGGGAGGGGGTCCTCCTCCTCCTCCTTTTCGTCGTCGTCCTCCTCCTCCTCCTCCTCCTCCTCCTCCTCCTCTTCGTCCTCCTCCTCCTCCACCTCCTCCTCCACCTCCTTCCCCCCTCCAGCTTATGGTGGTGGTCGTGGTGGAAAACAGGCCCATCAGAGGAGGCCGCACCGATACAGTGGGTGCCCATGCCAAAAAGCACCCTGACTGCCTCCAGGGTGCCCTCCCTGGGTGTCGTGGGTTTCGGTGGCTTTGCCATGGAAGGCGTGACGTTCCCACACTAGAAGATTGTGGACGTCCTGGGGTCTCAGGGTTGGGTTTCTTGTTGAAGGTTTCTTGTGGACTGGCCTCCACTGTGCCGCGACTGCGGGCAACCTCTGTGTCCGCGTCCTCTGCGTCTCGGGCTTTCCTCTGGGAAGGGGCGCCGAAGAGGCCGAAGCGCAGTGGGCATGGACAAGAAGGGCCCTGGATGTGTCCATCTCCACTGGGTCCGAAGCTCCACGACGCAGTGAACGTGGATCCGAGTCTTGCCCGCAGCTTCCCCGCTCCTCGTTCTGGCCTCTTCGAGCCTCCTGGGTGGCCTCGGGGCCCAGAGAGGGCCCCGAGAGGCCCGAGAGGCTGGACGCGGCGAAACGCCGCGGGACTCGCTTCCCTCAGGACCCGCTTGCTTTGCCTCACGGCGACCTCGCTTCCATCGTCCTGGCTGCCAGCCTCTCCACGTGTGCCTCCCCCCCCCGGAAGGGCCAGTGCCGGCCCCCCGCAACAATGACAAGCACAGGCGGCCGCGGCGCGATCTCGCTGCCCCCTCCCGTCGTCCGTCCCCCACCAGAATTTCGGGGCGAGCGAAGGGGGGAAGTTGCGGGCTCGAGGTTCGTGGTCTTCGGGCGCTCCCGTCGGTTCCCGGCGGCCTTCCAGACTCGGGAAGCCTAGTGCCAGCAGCTGCGCCTCGGCGCGAGGGCGTCCCAGGGGGTGCCCGGGTCGTCCCGAGCGCCCGCTGGAGACCCGAGTTTTCTGACCCAAGAGCCAAATTCAGCGGTGCGCGAAGGGGGGAGGTGAGAGTGAGGAGGCGTTCGTAGAGGGCGGCGGGGCTTCTCAAAAGCCCTGCCGGCCTCTGACGGGTTGTCTGCGCCTTCGGGGGCGACTCGGAATTTTTGTCCAGAAGGCCAGAGGACTCTTCGAGCTCTTTGAGCAGGCCCGCCCCCTCTCCCTTCCCCCCCCCGGCCTGGCTGGCCGCCGAGAATGGCACGGCGCCGTGTGGAACCCATAAGTCGTGTTCTTGTGGGGGGAGCGCTGGGGCTTCGGACAGAGACGAAGGAGTGGCACGCTGACGGGCTCGCCCCAACGGCGGCGTGACGCTGATCCTCGTTCTCCCTGCCGATTTGCCTTGCTCCCGTCCCCCCTTTCGGGTTTCGGGGGCCCCCAAACGGGGTGGTGACCACACTTTGCGGTGAGTCGGTGGGGATTCGGGGTCACCGCACGGTTTTGGGACTCGGGTCGTTCGCCGAGGACGTCTCGGGCGACAGGGGCCTCCAGGGTCCCAGAACCGTGCGGTGACGGACCGTGCGGTGAGGTCTTGGGGGATTTCGAGGTCACCGCACGGTGTGTCGCCGCACCGCCTCGGGACTCCAAAGCGTTGACCCAAAAGGGGGTCCAGCGACAAGGGGGTGGTGCAATGGATTTGGTGCGATAGATTTGTGGGGTTGCAATACATTTGGGGCGTGCGATACAGTTCGGGGCGCAAATGTATTTGCTGTATTTTCGTGTGCAAGACATTACTTGCAATACAATGCGATACAGTTCTCCGGCGCAATACACTTACAATGCCCCACTCCCTTTCAGGTTGGGTCACCCAAACCCTTGTCTCTTCACCCTCCGCTTTTCCCGCCTCTCCTGTCTTGCCTCCTCTCCCGTCCCGATCGGCGGGTGCCAAGGAGCATCGGGTCGTTTTGTTTAGGGGGGGAAGCAGGGGGAGGCGGGGGAGGACGGCCGCGGACAATTGCATGCTGTTCCTCTTGTTTCTTGTTCTCCCTCATCCATGACTTCCGGCCGAGGCTAGACGGGATCATCAGTGATTGACGGCGTGTGTTTCC